CTTCAGCGTCCTCACCTCCAGAAGGGCTAGGACTACAGATGTCATTTTTAGGATTCCTGAGGGCATGGGGGGAGAGGGGTATAGCAACTGGCAGACACAGCTTGAGGCAGTAAGTAAGAATGCCAGCCTTCGATGGGACTTATGGCAAATGCTGTTTGCCCTCTGGATGTTTACTGATGAGCTGTCTTATGGACCACTTGTGAGATACTGAGTACTTGAGTTCAAGAAATAAAACTTAAACCAGGTGTGATAGCGCACGCCTTTAGTCCCAGCACCTGGGAGGCAGAGGTGAGTAGATCTCTGTGAGATCAAGGCCAGCCTGGTCTACATAGTGAGTTCCAGGCTACCTGGGACCAAGACAAACTAAACAAAACAAAACAAAACCTCACAAAATCACTTGTCCAGGAGCAGGGCCTGTGGGCAACACCACCTTGATCCTAAGGACAGGAGAGGTTTGTGCTTCTCTGTGGGCAAAGGATTTGCTGGAGACACCAAGCTAAGAGGATCAAACAGTACCTAGCTGGCCACTGTCCTGTATGCCCTCAGAGACCCTGTGGTATTGTTGGAGCTTTCTTTCGTGTACATGCTTGTGCAAGTTGGAGTCAGGGATTGATGATTGATGTCAGTATCTTCCTTTCTACCTTACTTATTAAAACATGGTCTCTCGTTGATCCCAGAGCTCACCAATTTGGTTAGAATGGCTGGCCAGTTACCCCAAGGATTCTCCTATCTCTGTCTCTCCAGTGTTGGGATTACAGGTGTACACCTCTACAGTCTAATTTTTTTCTTTTCTTTTTTTTTTCTTTTTTTTTTGAGACAGGGTCTCATTATGTAGTCCTGGCTGGCCTGGAACTCAATACATAGGCTAGGCTGGCCTTGAACTCACAGAGATTCACTGGCCCCTGCCTCCTGAACGATGGGATTAAAGGTATGTGCTACCACCCCCAGCTGCACCCCACTTTTTCTGTGGGTGCTAGGGATCTGAACTGAGGTTCTCACGTTTGGGTTATAATCACTTTACCAACAGAATCACCTCCCCAGTCCCTCATAGTTTTCTACAAACATGGTGTCCGAGCTCCCGTCCATGGTTCTGATCCAGCAGGTGTGGGCTGGGACCAGGCCTGGTGTCACTAGCAGGCCCTTTCTGGTGACTGAGTGCCAGCCAGGTCTCACATGACAAGTCTGAGAGCCTGAAGAACACCCCAGTGACAGCTGACTCCTCTCATCCTCACCGTCCTCCCGCAGCTGTCCATGAGCCATCCTCATCTTTCTACAACTCATCAAAGATTGTGGACACGACCTCTGAGCTCTCTGGAGCCACCTCATGGCCTAACCATGATAATCTCAAAGCAGATTGTTCTTGAAGCTGATGGCCTCAGCTCTCTGACACCCCTGTCACTGTGAAACCAGCCCCATTGTACACCTGGCTTCCAGTGTCCCAGAGGGACCTGGTCATTCTCATTTGTGTATACTGGAGTCCCCAACCTTTTGACCACTCTTCAGAGATAACACATTCCCCTGACCCTTCCATGTCCTCTGAAGGCCTTCCCAGCCACCAGCCACTGGCCCTGGGCCAGCCGTCATGTATCTAACAGGGAAAGCTTGGGGACACTGTTATTGGGGTTCTCATATAGGAGCTAACCTGAAGGCCATCAGCTCTCTGGAGCCAAGGCTCCATTCCCACAAACTCTACCAAACAGACCAAAAGTACTAGAAATAAATACTGGCTTGTACTAAGCACATCCAGATGTCTTGCCCTGTCCTGATTCCCTGAGCGACGCAGTCTGACAACCAGTGGTGAAGCTTTTACATTGTATTAGGTGTATTAGAAACCACCAAGGGCTGGCTTTAAGTTCACAGAGGAGTTGTGTGCTTTATATGTAAACACTAGGACATTTCCTATAAGGGACTGGAACATTTTCCAAAGTTGGTACCGTGGGGTTTGCAGCCAAGACCCTGGGGTCAGTGATGGATGATGATGTGGGTCACAGAGCCACTATAATCGGATGTCCTCACACATGGGGCACACTTGCCCCTTGCCTGTCACTGAGATGACCCTGTAGACGTCTTGTCAGCTCTGACTTCAAGATAGTTATTGATGGGGCCAGTGAGATGGCTCAGCGGGTAAAAACACTTGCCAGCAAATCCAAGGACCTGGGTTTAATTCCTGGAGTCCACATGGTAGAAGGAGAGAACTGACTCTGGCAAGTTCGAACCTCCACATTTGCATTTGCACGCACACACACATATGCATACCTACACATAATCAATCAATCATCAATGTAGAAAATTAAATGACAGTTGTTGACAGGGCATTTACATCAAGCTTATGATTGTGGTGGGAAAAAGTATGGTCCACAGGAAAGAACCACAAAACAGCTACAGAAAAGGCTCCTCAATTCTTTATCAAAGACACACCAGACAGCAGAGACGCAACAGAATCCTGTGTGGAAGCCCTTCATTATGGGGCCCAGCACCAGGCAGGGCAGCCATGTCAGGGCATCTGACTGAGTTAAAGGAGGAACTGAGCTCTGTGGACGCCCAAGTTGTTAAAAGTCAACACTTGCTTCTAAAATGGCCCCTTGGTCCCAAGGTTCAAACCGCAGCATGTAATTTTAGAGAGAAAATAAGTCTGACATACTTTGCAGGTTTTTTCAAATGGGGGAGCAGAGGCTTGCCAGATGTCACAAGGGGATAAGAACCACGTGCTGGCACTTTGGTTGGCTTTGACCACAGAGACCCCATACTTCACGGAGCGCTCCGAAACCCCGCTGGCTCCAGGGACAGCTTCACTCCACATGAAAAATTCATAAGGGAATTAATGAGGCTGTTTAAGAACAATCCCTCAAAAGTCGACAATATACAGACACTGTCCACTGGGAAGAACAAGCCTGTGTCAGGCCATAAATGATTTTAATATCCCAATGGTAAAAGCCAGCAGCTAAGGTAACAACCCAACAGGGAGGTTCAGACTTAAATCCAAGCACCTAACATGGAGAAATTCCAAGTTCTACCCCAGGCAGCCTGGGAAAGCTGGTACCGCCCCCCCCTCAGCCCCATGAGTGCCTGACTATGGTAAGCAGTCTTATAGGACCATGGCTCCTCAGTCTTATAGGAGCCAGTCCTCCCCAAGCCACGTGAAATATCACAGTCCCACACTGACAGGCCTGGGGGCCAAGCCAGGCAATCCCAGAACCTTGAAACTGAGAAGTCAGACTGGAACAAACAGGCAAATGGACTTGTATATCCATTCAGGGGTTAAAAGCACTGTCAGGACCTCTGCTAACCCAGAGTCAGGAAAGCGCTGCCCCAGGCACATGCACCTTGGAGGGCCAGGCTCCCTTTGTTGACTAGTTTATCATCGAAAACAGTCAAACGAGCTGAACATCAGGGGTACGCTTCCATCTGCAGCCCTCATGTATTATTGAAAACCAGGAGCCGGCACAAGCCTACCCCAGCCTCCTGGAGCCCCTTCTCTGCCATGCACACACAGACACCCACACACCACTCAGAGCCCCGGTCCCACCTCCCGGCCCCCAGGCCACGCCCCCTCTGTCTCTAGTCTTTCTCACACACAGGAAGAGTGCTTACATCACAACCGCATCCTACAGAAGATGATTCAACCCAGTCTGCATTTCTAGGAGGGTTACAAACCCTGAGAGCTGCAGCAGGCTCTAGCTCCTCGGGTCGGTCTGGGTCGGGATGAGCTTGCCACAGTTCAACACATGGGAGTCTGAATTAGCTCCTATCTCACTCAAACCAGGTTCTGGTCAGTCTAGAATAATTTAATACACCATTCTCGGCAACAAGACACTTGGAATGAGTTAAAGTGTCTTTCCCTCTTGACCTGGCTCCCTCTCCCTGAACAGTTGGGGAGATTCCCATTACCTCTTACAGTCTGGGGACCCTCTAGAGAGATGGGAGCAAAGCCACAGGTGGAACCCAGCATGGGTTGCTGGGGTGTGACTCTGAGCAGTAGCTTTGAGTGGCCATCCCACTGAGACGGGAGGGTCTCCTCTTTTACAGAATGAACATGTGTCAAGGTGACCCAGGAGGCGGAGCCACCATTGGCCAGCAGGAAACACCTATCACCTCCAGCTTCGTATGGATTTCTGAAGCACGTGACGCAGAGCTCAGGGTGAACACTGGGAAACAAAAACTCCTGCCTGACAAGGCCCTTTTGAGTCTATAAGCTCTTTAAAAAAGTCATCTTCCCAACCTACCACCATGTTCTCTCATTCACCCTCTTCCCAAAGAGTAACACGTTCCTTCGCACAGCAAGATCAAAAATGACACCTAACCCTGCAAAGAGGCAGGGTGCTCCGAGGGGCTGGGATTTGACTACCTCACACGTACCAACGCATGAACTGTAGACAGAGTTCACGGTCATTGCTGCTCGCTCACAGGCGGAAGCTGCCCTGCTTTGGGGCACTGGCAAAAGCTAGTTTTCAAAGCATCCGGACAGACCTCACCAGCTCCTCTGTATCTACTCCAGCCCCTCATGCTAGATGCTCTTTGGTCCTTAAACACTGTCATCCATGCAAGGACTGCAGACCAACCAACTCTCTGCTACCCATGATACACTTCAAGCCGGCCAATACCACACAGTCTTGCCGACTTGCCCTTGGGACCCAGGAGTGGGCAAGGACTCCCCTCCATGCTTATCTGTAGAGTCACACTTAGGTCACCCACAGATCCGCATGGAGCCCCAACATCATGACAACATGCCCTCTATCTTCCACTTGAAGATCAATGGCCAAGTTCCATATACACTTTCTCCTTCCAAAGAAAAAACGCAGAGGTTCAGAAACACCAGGGACCAAGGAAGCAGCATCCACAGAGGGTGGGCCCACCCACAGAGGGTGGGCCCACCCACCCAGAGAACGCAAGTCAGGATACCTAAGCCACCTAGATCCATCCTCACGCTTCCAACCACAACCTTCTCCCCACGAGAGTCAGCGCTCTCCCCAAGCAGGACGATGCAAACACCTACGCCCTACCTCGATCAAGAAGTCCCCAGTCCTTAGTCCGGCTTGCCATGCTACTCCACCTTCATCCACTGACTCCAGGTACTGCAGGGCTGGGAAAGCCGGTGTGGGCGTGAACTCCTCAATGGGGGTGTCGGCTGGGAAAGCAAAGAATTCTTGGTTAGGAGCACGGGAGACGTTTTCCAAGCTGCTCATCCCATATCCCTGTGGGACCCTGGGAAGAAGAGGATCAGCACATCTCCCACTGGGAGGCAGTGGTCCCAGTCAGGTCTCCTCAGGGAAGGGCTGCTGCTCTAGTACGTTCACACTAGTACCAAGAGAGGCCATGAAACCTAGTGCAGGCTGCTACCATCATGCCTCTTGGCCTCTCTGTTGAAACTGTGGAATAAAGTGCTCTGTGGCACATGTCTACACGCCTGTCATTTTCTTTAAAGGCATCAGTGACTAAACATTTTCAGTTCTAAAAACGGAAAAGTCCCTCCCCTACCACAGGGAGCTAGAGAAAGACCACACTGAAACCGCCTGCCAGTTTCAGAGCTATGCAGACTTGCGACCCAGGAGACTCAACTTGGAACAGGCACTGAGCAAGGCTCTGACCCAGTGGGTGGCTGCCGATTTGGAATGCCCGGAACTATCCCTGGGATGGGGGGCGGGGGGGTGGGAGGACCCAGCTCTCTGTGACCACTTCATGACCAGGGTGCTGCAAGGCAGAGTGAGGCTGGGCTTCTGAAGCCCACAGCGTTGCTGAATATAACTCTGGGGCAAGAGAGGGACTTTCTTGCTAGTCCTGAGCAGCCCGAGGGTGGATGGGTGGGAAGGTGTGATACCAAGGTAGGGGGAGGGGAAAGTGCACCACACAGATAGGCATGGTCCTGCACCCCAGGGGGAGGATGGACTCAGTTCTCTCTCTGGACTGATTACCGTGGGTGGTGGGGGCTTGTGACAGGTGGGCAAGTGAGCCAGGGAAAGAGGCCTCCCTCAAGGTGCCCGGTGCCAGCACAGCACCGCAGGCCCTGACAGCAACTTTCACATGGCTGACCCCCCCACCCCCACCCACCACGGGCGGATGCTCCTCTTTTGAGGGCTGATACCATTTTGCTGTAGTTGGGAAGGGAAGCCCCATGCTAGGAGCAGGCATGGGATGCTGCTCTGGGCTTCATCCCAGAGCTGGCCCTTCCCAGGCCATAGTGTGTGTGTGCGGCCACAGTAGAGGGGACCGTCTCTTCACCTTGCCTTGCAAAGTCACCTTAAAGGTGCAACCCTGCTGCCTGCTGCCCTCAGAGCGGAAAGCCCACCCCCAGCATGGACCAGCTTCCAGGTATGCAAACTTGGGCTGGGCCATCCTAGGTGTCTGAAACCAGGAGCTTTGAGAGCCAGCACAATGTGCTGAATTGGAACCCAGGCTGCAGGGTCTCCCCAGGACTGAGAGAAAGGGCGGGGGGAGGGGGAGAGAACACAGCTCATTTGGAGTAATACTGTGGCTAGAAAGAAAAAAAATGTGCCTTCGGGAAGCGCCGACGATTTTTGAGCAAGCAGAATGTTAAAGAGCACCGTTGTCAGGCGACCAAGTGCCCCCAGGAAAATGCTTATTTCACGTTTATGTCCAAGCTGGGGAAGGCTGTTCTATACGAACACACACACACACACACACACACACACACACACACACACACACACACACACACACACACCCCGCGGGAGGAAGGGGTCCCGGAACTCTTACCTTTTGCCCCTCGGAGCACGAAGCCAAAGCCCTCGCTGTCTTTCTTCTGCAGGACCACCGTCTTGTCCTCGATAATGCAGTCGCTGTAGAGAGAATCCCGGGGATAGCGACCATTAGTGTAACCGGTCCTCATCACGGTGGCTGCTCCTCCACCTGGGATGTTCATCATCAGCCAATTAATGACCCAGCTTGCCGGATCCAGGCAGCATGGAGGAGCCTGGGCGGCAGCTCCGTGCAGGAGGAGCTGGGGGGGGGCGAGCGGGATGGGCGAGCGGGGCACAATGGGATGTGGAGGGGGGCGGCGGGCGCGGGAGCCAGCCGGGGGATGGAGTCATGGATGCTGCCCGGGTCCGCTGGGGAGCTGGGAGGCGGGGAGCCCGGCTCAGGGCCCCCGGGGGCTGGCCAGGGCCCGGCCGCCCAGAGCCAAGAAAGTAAGTGGCCCGGGTGGTGGCGGCGGAGGCAGCGGCAGCGTGGTGAAGGAGAGCCCCAGGCCTGCCTCGGCCAGACGCATCTTCCAGGGAAGCGGAGGAGAGCAGCCGAGGAGGAGGAGGAAAAGGAGAAGCCGCTGCTCTGCTTTGCTTTTTCTTGCGGGGCTTCGGGAGGAGACCAGGCTCCGCTCCGCGCAGCAGCCAGCAGCAGGCACTGGGGCCGCGGAGACCTGTGCGTTGCAGCCAGCGCCCCCTCCCTCCCTCCCTCCCTCCCTCCCCCCGTCCTAGGCAGTGTGGTGTGCGGTGTGCGGCAGGAGCCCCCACAGTCATCTGATGAGCCCACGGCGCGACCGGCGCGGCTGCCTGGGCGTCATCCCGGGAGCAGAGGATCCGCGGGCTGGGCTGGGAGGAGGGGGCCAGCGCCCGCCGTGGCTCTCCTGGTCTCGGGGGCCACCGAGCTGGTGGATGAGGGGCTCCGGGCCAGAGGAGGCAGAGCATTTTAGTGCCCTGGGAGCCATGGAGGCCAGCGGCTCCCTCCTGACAAGGATGCCTTTCTGGGGATGGGAAGGGCAGTGGGGTCTCCCCGCAAGGAGGAACCCCCAAGCCGCACTCCTTCTCTCTCTGCATGACGGTTCCTTTTCGAAAAGGAAACAGATCCAAGAGTCCCAACTTTGCTGTACCAAAGCCTCCTGTCACTAACACCAACAACTCTCTCTGCCCGGAAGTGTATATGGGGGTACAGGGCAGAAGGGCGCTACCCAGTGCCCCCGAGAGCCACTAACTGTCGCCCTGCTTGGCCTTCTAGTGGCAGCTGAGGGGGCAGGAGACCCGGCTGCCTGCCTGCGTCCCAGAGATTCAAACATTGCCCACCCGGAAGTAAGTCAGGAGGCAGGAAGTCTGGGGGTTGGGGCCGGAGGAGGAGGGAGGGGCTTTCTTCTCTAGAGTCCCAGGGGGTGGGAGAACTCAGGTGTGCGGAGACAGGACAGGGTGACCAGAAGTCATCCCCAAAGGGGCAGGAGACAGACCCCCACCCCCTGGCCCAGAGTAAGAGGCCTGGGGATGCATAGGACACGGTGGAGAGATGGGCTGTGAGTCCCACAGTGGTGACTGCCAGTTCTCCTGGTCCCGAGACAGGACAGGGTGACCAGAAGTCATCCCCAAAGGGGCAGGAGACAGACGCCCACCCCCTGGCCCAGAGTAAGAGGCCTGGGGATGCATAGGACACGGCGGAGAGATGGGCTGTGAGTCCCACAGTGGTGACTGCCAGTTCTCCTGGTCCTTGACTTGCAGCCCAGCCTACAGGTGGCCACACAGGTAACCTGGACACAGTGCCCTGTGGGGTCAGTGGAGCAGGCAGACACTTCTAACCAGCCTAGGAGGTGTGCCCAACCTTCTGACATGGAACACTATGTTGACATGGACATCTACAAAGTTCACGCTCAAGGACTGTGTAACACACACACACACACACACCACATTGTGAAATAATCTCACAGTGTTTTAAGTAAGTTTACAATTTTGTGTTGGGTCATATCATTAGCTATCCTGGGACACATCTGGGTTAGGGTGAGGGAAGGAAGTGACCCTTGAGGTCCCATTACACAGGTAAGGCTGGTGAGGTTCCGGACCCAGCTAGGAGCGCAGCTGAAGAAATCACCCAGTAGCTACATCACAGGGTGCTGCTAGGCAATGGCCCTGGAGGACCCTGTGTTCTGGGAGTGGCTACGAGGATAGTGACAACACAGAATGAAAACACAGCTGTCTGATGATCAGTTACCAGTGTGTGTGTATGTGTGTGTGTGTGTGTGTGTGTGTGTGTGTGTGTAACAAGGGGGGAGGGGTCAGTCCTAAACCTTGTTCTGGCTCCTGAGACATCCCACCAGTCTCTAGGATCTCGGTCACAGGTGTGTGAGTCCCTCCTGGCACAGTTCCGGAACACGCCCCCCCCTCCTCCGTGCCTGCCAGGTAAGGACTGAGGCCTGGAGGAAGTGACAGGCTCTCTGGTTTTCTGCTTCCCACATGCACAGGCTGTGCGGATGACCCATAGACCCTTGGGGCTGCTATGGGTTGGATGCCCCCATACCCATAATGGTGCAGTTTAGCTGAAAGGCCCCAGGGAGCCCTTTTCAACTGTGGTCAGTAACTAGAGAGGGCCTGGCTGGTGGCCAGGATCTGCCACCACAAGATGGGTTGGGAAGACAGCTGGGGTGGGGTGGGGCTTGTTGCTGTGGAATCAGGGGTCTACAAGACACCTTGGCAAAGGAAGTTTGTGTCAGGCCCTGTACCCTTTGCTCTCTCTCTATTGCCCACCCTGGCTAATTGGAATACAGACTCGGGTCTTTTACAGGATACCTTTTATGGCCACACCTCCTGTTTTCCTTCAAAGTCCCACAGGGACTCACCTGCCCTGGCTCCAGGACGCCCTCACTGACCAGGCTGCGCCGTACCCTGCTAGTGCACACCCTTCTCCGTGGAAGTCTCTCTTTCTGAGGACTGGGGTGCCAGGGCCCAGGCCCTTCTGCTAGGCCTCCCTGCCCTCCTTCTCTCCATGTGCTAAGATGCTGGGGGCTGGTGGCAATCACCTGAGCTGAGGGTTCCCCTGGGACACAAGCAAGCAACAGTACCTGCCTCTGCCTGGCTCAGGGGGGAAGCCAGGGAAGGCTCCCAGCATGTACTTCATCAACTGCAGGACCTAAGGACACCGAGCCGCCACCCCTATCCTTCCCATTGCATCTCAAAAGCAGGTTGCACGTTTCCTGTCAGCGGCCCCCTACTCACTGCTTGGACACTGGCTGTCTCCTCCTGACCATTTGTGGTCTTTGGGGGTGTCGCTGAGCTTAGCTCAAAGCCAAATGTGGCTCTGACCCCAAGGTCATGCTGACCTTCTGAGCCTCAGATGTCCTTGTACAAAATGAGAACCTCACGGGGCCCCAGGGGGAGGGTGCAAAACATTCTTGCACCCCACATCCTCAGGGAGGCCCCTGGTGGGTAATCAGCAGAAATACTGCAGTGACTGCTCCAGTTTTAAAGGGCCACTGTAGGGGTTGGAGAGACGGTTCAACAGTTAAGAGCACTGGGACCTGGGTTCCATTCCTGCACCCACATGGCGGCTAACAACCATCTGTAACTCTGGTTCCAGGGGATCTGATGCCCTCTTCTGGCATCTGTAGGCACTGCATGATATGGGTGCACTTAAATACATGCAGGTCAAACACACACATAAAATAAAAATAAGTTTAAAAAAGAAATTTAAAAAGAGCCACCATTGGAGGCATCAGTGACATCACACACCTCTTCTCCACCTCCCACCTCCCCATTCCCAGGCTAGACCTCATCTTACCTCCCCATTCTGGGCCAGATCCCTCTCCCAGCTCCTGACCCTCCGCAACACTCTAGCTGCCTTAGGCTGTGATGGTCCTGGCCTTGTGTGTGTAGTCAGACCTCCCATCCTACCTCCCACTGGGGGAAGGATGGTTCCTCTTTCCTGTGCTTGTGTCAGGATCTAAGCCCCACCCTGCCTGCCATGTCCCCACTGCCCTTAGTCACCAAAAGGCCTTGGGCCTAAGCTCCAGCTCAGACATTCACCAGCCTGGCTGCTAAAGGCATCAGTTTCTCCTGCAGAGTGGGTGAAAACCTAGGACCAGACATGGAGTCATCACTCCCAGACACACCACTGTGGGCAGAGTTAGCACTGGGACACTGCCCTCAGCAGTCCAGGTAACCTTTTGTGCTATGACCCAAGGCAAATGACCCCCCCCCCAAAGAACTTGAGCTCCTGAAAGGCAGTGACCTGTTATCACAGATCACCCCAAATCCCACAGCACCCCATGGTGTAGGGCTTGAGGCTGGGGGTAGGGGGGTGACCCCCTGCAGAACAGAGCTGAGTGACTGAGGATGACCACAGGGCCTTCCTAGACACACAGACTCTCAGTGGCTCCTTCTGTCTGCTCACCAATGACCTGATCCTGGGTGACAGCGTGTCCACCATTAGAAGCTTTGCAGACTGCACCTGGCACTTTGCTGTCACCAGAGCTCACCCTGCCCAAGGCCCTGGTAACATCTGCCCAGCCACCACAGCAGAGCTGCCTTCAGACTCAGCCCAGGCTGCTACCCAAGGTACTCATGCCCCCCACCCTGCTCCTGAGTGACCTCACCTAAACCTCTGCTGGAATCCCGTTCCCCCACCCGTCACTTGTCTGGTGTGTGAAGCATTTGCTATGGGCACCGTGCACAAGTCCCCATGCACCTTGATCTTTTCAGCCTCTCACATGATTGTGGTATCCACCTGTGATTGTTCCCCAACACAAATACGAGATAGCGGCACTCTTTCTAATGTTTTCTGAGCAGGGAAGGAGGGTTCTAACCCACCCCTAACGTCTCCTCCATTGGAAGGTGAAGGGGGAGAACCCAGTCTGCCAAGTACAATGGGGCGCAGGCGTGCACAGCACAAATACAGACAGCGTTACCCAGAGTTCCCATCTCTGGTCATGTGTTCGTTACAGCTTTGTGGGCAGACCGCAGGACCTTGAGGAAGGGGCAGTTTCTTCCTCTAGTTCACACAAAGGTTGCCGTGGAGAATGGAAAAGATGCCTACATAGAAAACACATTGCCCTCTGGGGGACAGCCTGTGTCTGCAGTCTCCTGGGAGCCACAGG